CTCACAAAAATTTAAATTTAACTTTTTTTATTATAATATTTTTTTCACATTAATTTACTTTTTAATTTAAATTCTCAACTTGAACGAGATCTTAATATTCATACTCATTTCTGATTAAGACGTATACTAGACAAGTGGTCTTGCGTCACAAACTTGACTCAAAATTGATCCGCATAACATTGTAAGTTGCATGAAATATTTGGATATATATGCGTTTTAACTCATATGTATCACCATTTAGAGAATAATAAAGTAATTTACACCTAAATAAATTTATAATTTAACCCAAAAAAATTGCTCCAAACCATAAAGGAAAACCCTTGTTTCATCCTTATATAATGTAATTACGACAAATGTCTCACATCTATCCATCTCCTTCTTTTGAAGAGATAGAATATTACATACCATAATAAGTAAAAATAAATAAAAATATACCCCAAGTCTTTGCTAAAGAAATACTATTACACCATATATTATACATATGTATATATGTATACAGTAGCCATTTTCAAATGATACATAAATAAAGGTAGGTTAAGCAAATAAAAGACGGCGACGATATTCTCCCAAGGCCCATATTGGAAAGATGTTTCGATATGATGAGTAGTTTAACGTGCAATTCTTCATAAACACTCCTGTGATCTCCTGCATGCAACATTAACGCAATATAATACGTAATTAATTACCTTCCTCAAGGAAGTAATAATCACTTTTTGCGACACTTTGAAATGTAAATTTTATATTTTAGTAACATTATTTAGTAAACACGTATAATAAAATGTTACTAAACCAATGACATTTCAAATGTGACAGATATTACCGTTATCATTGATATTTTGTGTGTAAACACATAATCAATTTAAGATATATGTCACTAGAACTGTATTTAGTTACAATATTTTAGGCTAAAAATTTGTATTTCTGTGGTATTATGAAAGTACCTTTTGAGGGAAGTCACCATCTTCCATTTGCATATTGATCAACACTCTTATTCCACGATGTATGGGTGTAGGATTTATATCAGCCTAAACAGTCATGATTAGTAAAAGGTTGGCATCATTATATATAATTTAACCAAGATGATAATAATTAACGTGTAGTATTTATTAATTATCAGCTTAATTAATTTATTTACAACCGATCGGTTGAGATCACCTGCCCAGCCTTGATGAGGGATAACAATGCCCAAGCTGTCTGAACCAAATTTGCTCGGTGGCCTTCTAAATTTGTGTAAACCTGCTTCAAATTAATGAAGCATAATTAATTAATAGCATAATATTATACAACATTACTAAATTAATTTGCTAATTCCTTTTAATTATTAGGTAATATAATAATATTGAAGATGCGTGCATGCCTTATTTTGACTAGAAAGGTAACTTTCTCCCCATCCACCATTGGGTAGCTGCTTAGAGAGCAGAAATTGACAAGCTTTCTGTAAGCTAACACAATTGTTGTAGCTCTTCCCACACGCTGCTAGCGCTTCCACTGCAAACCATGTACCATACGTGTAGCATATTCCCCAGCAACCAGTCCTACAATATGATCAGTTGTGTATATATATATATATAT